CAGAACGTCAGCAGAACGTCAGCAGAACGTCAACAGAACATCAGCAGAACATCAGCAGAACATCTGCCAAACTGGGCTCTAAACAGACAGAAGGTTCAACCAGCATGAAGGCTTGAACTTCAGCTCAAACGCTGTCAGCAAGTACAAAGTTTTATTATGGGAAATATTCACAACTTGTTTATTACATCCAGACAATAAATATAAGAAACGCCGTCAGACATCAGTGAATGTGTCAGAAGCTGCTGCTGAGCGCCTTTAATATGAAACGTAAAGATCTAACAAGTCCTCGTCAGATATGAGGAACGCTGCTGCTTTCACGTCTGCTGCAGGATGTGTGGAAGTTAATCCAAAGCTACCGACGCTTCTGATGGTTTACTCATTATTCATACTAAAACATTTCCAGTTGTTCTCGACACACTTTCAGACCATTTGGACAAATCTTGGTCGTTTTTTGAATCATAAACGGATTTCAGCTCCTTCAGAGTGAATGTTTTCTGGTTCCAGTAAACTGAACATCTTTGGACTAAACAAGACATCTGAAGAAGCTCTGATCCACATTTTCACGATTTTCTGACATTTGAAACTGATGGATTGATGATCTCGGCTCATCCAGAGTTTAATGATCAGGTATCTGCAGCTGTGCTCCTGCAGCTGAGAGGCTCCGACAGACGTTCCTGCTGCTAACAGTCTGTTGTTGTGTTTCTGCTCAGACTCCCAGCAGGATTCCAGAGAACAGCGAGTCCTGCAGGACGCTGACGGCCGATCCGGTCGCGTTGTCCACGAACACCGACACGTACTCGCCCGCCTGCAACACAGCAGCAACACAACCCAGGTCAGTCACACAGTCCAGCTCACACCTTTAGTTCACCTTCATCTCCTCTCTGCTGTTTGTCTTGGTTTTCTCATTTTGTGCTCATGTCTCCTCGTCCTGCAGATGTTGAACTAACTCCACGTCTCCAGATGTTTCCTCTCTGCTCATCAGATGTAGAAAGATGTTCCACCATCAGCTGAATGTATCTCCACCAGCTGGCACCTCTGGTCTCTGGTTCTGATCCGTGCTGCATCTATTCATTGATCCAGTAGGTTGGATTCTCCTTCAGGCTCTCTGAGGAAACTCTGGCTGCAGCTCACCTGAAGCTCTCTGAATGGTTCCTGTTGGTCACAGCTGAGTCAGTGGTGGATCAGAACCAGGAGGAGGAAGGTTCTGGTTCTACAGGATCAGAACCAGGAGGAGGAAGGTTCTGGTTCTACATGATTAGAACCAGGAGGAGGAAGGTTCTGGTTCTACAGGATCAGAACCAGGAGGAGGAAGGTTCTGGTTCTACTGGATCAGAACCAGGAGGATGAAGGTTCTGGTTCTACAGTCCTACAGGATCAGAACCAGGAGGAGGAAGGTTCTGGTTCTACAGGANCCTCATATGTCTCCAACCTCATGCTGGAATGTGCTGGTGGTCAAAACCCCTGAATACTTTCTATTTGTAGTTTCACTGTTCTACCGCTAGATCATGTGCGTACACATGGTCAGAGGTGTGCGTATATTTACGCACATTCCTAAGTATAAGTACAAGCTGATAAATTCCATACTTTGCGTAGGAATGTTTGTACGCACTGATGATAAATGAGGCCTCTGGTCTCTACAGGATTAAACAGGAGGAGGCTCCACCTGGTGGAACAACCAGGAACAACCTAACATCTAACCCTACGTTTATCCTCTAACCCTACATCTACCCTCTAACTCTACATGGAAACATGCTTCAAAATCAAACTCATATGTTGTTAAATGTCTACATGCAGACAACATGGAAGCAGCTTGTGATTCTGCACACATGAAATCAACGTCCAGAACCTATGAACACCAGTTCCCTCTAAATACCAAACTTTCAGTGACCTTCATGGATCAATCCTGCAGCTAAGACAGGAAAATTACCAGAAATATTAGTTCTCCACCTGTTCTGTCGAAACATAGAACTGTTTCATGTTCTATCGGTACACTAAGTTGTTGGGGGTTTTTTCTGATCAGATATTCTGATCAGATATACATCCTCTCACCTGTCCTGCAGGTGTGGTGCGGACAACTCTACCTGACATGGACCGGGAGATGCAGGACCGTTACCTGCTGGTCATCCAGGCCAAAGACATGATCGGTCAGATGGGGGGTCTGTCAGGAACCACCTCTGTCACCGTGATGCTGACTGACGTCAATGACAACCCACCTCGCTTCCCCCGCAGTGAGTCTGACCTTTACTGATGACACTGGCTCTGAACCCGAACCCTAAGATACTGAGTACTTGTATCTGCTTACCTGTGTGTACCTGTATCCCACAGAGAGCTACCAGTTCAGTGTTCCAGAGTCGGTTCTAGTGTCGGCTGTGGTTGCTAAGATCAAAGCTGTAGATCTGGATGCAGGTCTGAATGCTGAGATGGACTACAGGATTCTGGATGGAGACGGACTGGGAACCTTCCGGATCCTCTCTGATCCAGATACACAGGAAGGACTGGTCATCCTTCAAAAGGTACTGGTTCAGCTGTACCAGTACTGGTCATCAGGCTGTTCTTCGGGGTGAAAGTGTTCCTGTTCTAGATCTGGTCCTTTGCTTTAAACTGATTCAGAGTTTTTAACCATCTCTTAATAACAGTAATGTTTGGGGATGTCCCAGTCCGGTTCATTTGTCCCTGTTGTGATCCAAGTCATTTCACATTTAGCATCTGCTGATACCAGATAACATTTTACTAGAATATTACACACTTCATGTATTGTCGATCAGCTGTAGTGCTTAGTTGTTCCACCAGGTGGAGCCTCTTGGCCTCTTGGTTTCATACTGTTGTTTGTTAAAGCTGGAGTCAGCTCAGACTTCACAGTGGCATACAGAGCAGTTTGTACAGCTTTTATCACGTGTCTGTAAAACTGCACAACACTGTTTATTTTAGGAATTAATCAGTCATTGACTGATTGTGCTGCATTTATTACGGAATTAGTCAGATTTATGACACCTGTGGATAAAACAAAAGTTTGGGCTTAGTTCATACTTACACTGATCCGTTAAAAAGTATTCTGACAAGACCTGAAATTGACCCTGTTGTGATCTGGATCGATACAATCGTAGTGTTGTTCTCTAGTTATTTTCAGACAACAGATGGTTCGGTTCTACAACAGAGTCCAGCTGCAGCATCAGTCTGCACAGATGTGTGACTGAACACATGAGGCCTTGAAATCAATTCAATTCAGTTTTATTTGTATAGCGCATATTTACAACAACAAGTCATCTCCTAGCGCTTCACAAAGACAGAGACAGAAACACCCAACAAACCAAAACATTTGGATTCCCTATAAGCTTCAGCAGTCGGAAGGAATCAGTGTGTTTACAGATGAGTTGAGTCCTTTCAGTGGGGCTCTACAACTGAATGTGTTTTACCTGAATGATGTTTCAGGTGTTTCTTCCCCCTTTACAGATAATTTTCTCTAATTGATCCCCGACAGGTTCTGGACTTTGAAACCAAGTCCAGCTACACTCTGCGCATAGAGGCATCCAATCGGTACGTGGACACGCGTTACCTGTCGGCGGGTCCCTTCAGCGACACAGCGACGGTTCGGCTCCTGGTGGAGAACGTGGACGAGCCTCCGGTGTTCTCGTCCTTTGTCAGCCGGATGGTGGTGTCCGAGGCGGCTCCAATAGGAACCGATGTGGGATCAGTTTCAGCTCACGACCCAGACACCTTCGACAGTCCTGTGAGGTGAGACAATGAGTTGATCGCAGAAAACCAAACCAGCCAGATCAGAACCAAAAGAAGACAAGCAATCTGTCTGTCTGTCTGCCCTCAGGTACTCTATAGACAGACAGTCAGACCTGCAGCGTTACTTTGACATCAACAGCAGCTCAGGTGTGATCAGGACAAACAGACGCCTGGACAGAGAGCTCAACGTTCTGCACAACATCACCATTGTTGCCACGGAAACCTGTGAGTCCCAAGATGTACATGATGTCACATCTGTCTGTGACACAAATACCTGACAGGTGTGTCTCTGTGTCAGTGGATCCGACTCAGGTGGGGAAAGCTGTGGTTCTGGTCTCTGTGGCAGACGTAAATGACAACGCCCCAAGCTTCGCCATCGAGTACCAAACATTTGTCTGTGAAAATGCCCAATCTGGACAGGTAAACCTCACCTGCTCTACGCTCAGTTTACAAACAGGTTCACCGTGAGCACCCACATTGCTTTTCCCCATTTCATCTGCACATATGAGATCATCTGTAGCAACAGGTAAGTGTTCACCTGTGGGTGGAGATGTTCACCTGTGGGTGCAGATGTTCAC